CCAGTGCTCTGAGTTTTCACATTGCCCACCATCAGCAACCTGTGAATATGTGCCGCTAACATTGAGTGGTTCTTTCTTGCCATACCATGCCCTCCACCACTGAGGTTGCAAAGTTAGCTGGACTCCACAAATACACATACTACATGGGCTACAGTTGTGTCTACCTCCTTTGTTACGTATCCACGCTGAGCTTCCACAGCCCCAGGCCTTCTTAGTATTAATGAACCGGATGTTCTGAGACTATTCAGAAGACAGAACTGCAAAAAGGCAGCAGGGTCTGACAATGTATCTGCAGCCACACTAAAACAATGTGCTAGATAACCAGCCCCAGTTTTCACAGCCAATTTTTAATTAATTACTGAGCATTGTTCAAGACTGCTTCAAATTTTCTTTCATTGTTTCTGTCCAGAAAAGCACAAAATAAAATGCCTCAATGACTACAGACCTGTTGAAGACATTCAAACACCTGATTTTCACATACTTGAAGACTGTCACTGAAGACAGGGCTAAAAACATCACTTCCATAAAAACAGTACAGTACATATACTTTAAGACTGATAAAAAACCTCAGCATTGCACAACCCACCCTTACACGGTTCTACAGAGCCATCACTGAAAGCATGTTCACTTACTCTATTGTTGTCTGGTTTGGCTCTGATAGATATCCCTGGATATCACCTATTTCAAATGTTTCCCTCTGGAAAATGCTCAGAACCAAACCAACTCAGAACCAAAACCAAAAGATACCTGAACAGTTTCTTCCCTAAGACCATATCCCTGCTTAACCAGAATTCTTTCCTGGACTCATTACATTCTGGTACATAGTGAGGTTCTATCTTCATTGCTATTTGAAAATATATTGTGATTTGTCTCTTGTTTATTGAGTGTGATTAGTCTTCTTCCCTCTGCTGTAATTTATGTATCCTGCTGTGTGATACTGTTGGACAAAGTATACTGACATGACAAAATATATGTGTCTCCTTGTTGCAGAGTTCTACATGCCAAAACAAACTCTTGGACCTGACAAGAACCGGCGAATAGAGAGATTCTGATTCTGAAGACTAATGGGCCTGTGAATTAATTGTCATATACTAGTGATTCATTCACGGTTAGCCAGTAGTCAAAAGTCCTCAGCAGGGTCTTCTTTATATCTTGAGAGTTGATTCTGTTCTCAGCTGCAACAGAAGTCCCCTTGGGCCTTTTGTCATCAGCCTGCAACCAAACCCCAAAAACCACATACAGAGACATGTCCTGGTCTCAGCAAGGGAGGCACAAGCACTAACTTGTTGGTGGCACAATTGTTTTCTCATGACAGGGGTCCAGTGGAGACAGAGGAGCCCAGTGTGAGAGTAGAATGCATCAACAGCTGGAACTAAGGGCAGTCTATCTAGCCCTCAAATCCTTCTTACCAGTTCTGAGACACCACCACACTGCCACAACAGGTTGTGAATGTCAGATACATCAATCGGGTGGCACAAATTTGGATGGTGCTCTCCTCCATGCACTCTACATCTGGATTCAGTGTACTAGCCTTCCTACAAGGAGTGCAAGACTGCGGGAAGTCCCCATCTACGTTGAAGGTGTACAGTGCGTTTGGAAAATATTAAAGACTCCTTCATTTATTGCACACTTTGTTATAGATGTAATTTAAAATTGATTAAACTGGCTTTTTTTGGTCATCAAGCTATACACAATAAATCATAATGACAAAGCGAAAATGGTATTTTTTTTGGAATTTTTGCAAATTTATTAAACATCAAAAACTGAAACTTTAATTTAGATAATGTTACACCCTGGATGTCATGGAGACAATGAGGACGCAGGAGGTAGGTGTGTGGGAGACAGCGCAGGGCTGTTTATTGTTTCACGTTTTTTTCAGCATGGAAAAATTTCTCTACCTAAATGCATTAAAGAAATGCAACAGTCATTTTCACATGTGCACACACACAAGTTCAGCAAGACGTTATCAAATTTGGTTTCTCCGCTTGCCACCACCAGATCTCTCTGCTTAGAATATCACCCCCGCTATAAGACACACAGTGTATAAATAGAACAATGTTGCATGCTCATTCATGCAATTACCCACTCCTTCTCCCAGACTTTGCTCTCCTTTCACAAGCAGTGCTCAACCACGCCCCCTCCACCACAAGCTTTATGCTCCTGGATTTGGGCAGTTTATCCCATTCTTCTTTGCAGACGCTCTCAAGCTCAATCGGATTGGATGGGGAGTGTAAACTGCCATCTTCAGGTTCTTCTCTCCAAAGAAGTTCTATGGGCATGAAGTCTGGGCTTTGGCTGGGCCAATCAAGGAAATTCTTGTCATTGTTGTGCTTAAATGCGAACCTTTGCCCCAGTCTGATGTTATTTGGAATCTGGAGGAGGTTTTCTTCATGGATGTATTTGGCTCCATTCATCCTTCCCTCGATTCTGTCCAGTTTCCCCTGTCCCTGCTGCTGAGAAACACCCCATAGCATGAGCCTGCCAAGACCATACTTGTAGGTATGGTATTACCAGTTGATGCGCAGGACCTGGTTTTCGCCAGACTTAGCACTTGGAGCTAATTTTTTTTCTCATTAGGCCATTAGGAATCTTAGGAATCTTTTTCCTCATGGGAGAGGCTTCCGTCTTGCCACTCTTCCAAAAAGGTCTGATTGATGGAGTATTTCTGAGATGTCTGTCCTTCCAGCAGGTTATCCCATCTCTGTGGAGGCCTTCTGAAGCTCTGCTAGAGTGGCCATTGAGTTCCTGGTCACTAAGGCCCTTCTAGCCCAGTTACTGAGTTTGCCCAAATGAACAGCTCTAGAAGGATTCCTGGTGGTTCCAAACTTCTTCCATTTCACAATGATAGAGCCCCAGCAAACCAAAAAACCCAATAGTAATGACTTATGAGCTTAATATCCAGTGTCACCCAGAGCTTTGTAAGCTCTTTGTGGACCATGATTGTCGGATGAAAAAAAAAAAAAAACCCTACAGAAACATGATCTTTATTTGGGGTTGATCAGAATCACTTAATTAATGACAGGTGTATGATAATTACTTCTGAATTTGAGTTTGGGATCCACACTGATTGATGACTTAACCAAAATGTAGTAATCTGACATGAAGAACAGCTAATCACACAGTCAGTTATAGAATCTGGCCAAGATTTTATTGGGATAAACTCATACAGTGTGACAAGTATTAATCTTAAAAGACAGCTGTTTTAGGGAAACTACTCCCTGCGTGTGCAGTTCTCAGGTAACGGCCCGAATAGCGAATAGATATTATATGAGGTCTGAATACAGATCTGCAATTTCTGTATTAAATCTTTTATATGCGCTTTTAACTCAACTCTGAATACAGCCCTAAGAATGATGTGATAATCTTGATCTATATAAAGCAGGCTACAATGTGTGCAAATGGGAAAAAGTTGTATTGTCTGTTCTGCACTTATGTGAAGACTTTTTGTCAACAACTTTAAATGTCATGGTTCATTACCAAGCAGTTATGACAAACAGTCACTCTTTAATGTCGCTTTTAAATGGACAATTTGCTATCTGGGGCATGCTGAAAATGATTAAATCATAAACATATGTATATGATGTGAACTAACTTATGCTAATTTTGCATAATTGTATGCATATATGCATCATAAATGTGTAATATATTAGTCATGACAACTTTAGATTATTGTCGTAATCTAATTATGACAATGTTTGACATGCCTTATTAACAAAAACTAGCCAAGGCATGTCATTTTCCCTACATCAAGCTTTTTAGTGTCAGGTCAGCTTCCTGCTTGATTACACCTCCTGATATGATGCTACATCAGTTAAGTCATCTATCAAGTAGTTCCACTGCAAGGGCTTAGTAAAATAAGTTTTAACTTATAAGGCCAGAAAATAAATGCTATAGTTACAGCATTTACTAAGATAATACCCCCAAAACCACCTCGTGCCTGTGTGTGATATTACTGAGTGTACTGTTGTAGACAACTGTAGCGTAGCCTAAATCAACAGACAACTTCGGTCTGGAATCCTGTAGCCTTTGGTTTCCTTTTACAGCAGGTGGCAGAAGCAAGGACACAAACAGCCCCAATATGGATTCAGTGTCCCAACCTGTCACAAAGACAAGGGCACTGCACGCATAAACGTCAATGTGAAATCCCCTGAGAAAAGCTACCTATGGCAAGAACTCTTCTGGATCTTCTTAAATCAATTAAATATGGATGTGTTTGGTGGGGTGGAATTGGGGTTTTTAGGTACACGTAATGGAAATTTACACTCAGTTTACTACTGTGAGTTAGTACATTTAGAGCTCCTGTGCCTCCTAGTGGCTGATCTTGGTTTAAAGGTTTATTGTGTCATTCACAGAAGGGTTTGAATAAAGCTTCAGAGAAATCCTATTGTACTGTTTACCTAACCCATACTTCTGAATTAATATGATCTTCTGTGTGAATTTTTGTATTTCTAAAGTCAAAGCATAATTTCAAGTAAGAGCAAGTGTGGTACTGGAACACAGAGAATGTAAGTAAGCAGAGTAGCATGCAGCTGTTGCAGTGGAAAACTTTACGGATCCAACCTTCCTGTTGACACTCACCACTCCTCAAGCAGTGGCTAAATAAGAACCTACACATGCACACATTTTCAGTAAGATTTATGACCTCTCACAACTCTCTACTTCAAAGGATGACATTCTGTATTTTTCCATTTCATCAGCCTATAAATCATCCCGCTTACCTGAATCTTGACCAAGATCCATAATGTATATTCTCAGTCACTTACATTTGTGTGATCTTCCTGCTCTACGCCACCTAATTCAGCTGACTCAGCTCATGAAGGGCTTACCAACTGCTGGATCAGGAAAACACAAAATTACACAATTCACTGGAAATGAAGAATAATAATAATAATGTTGTTCTTTCGGCTGCTCCTTCCTGATGCAACCCTCCCATTTTATCCACACTTGGGATGGGAACTGAGAGTGCACCGACTTTGTGCAGCTCCCAGTGGCTGGATTGGTTCCCTGCCTGGGAATCAAACCCAGGCCGCGGCAGTGAGAGCGCGGGATCCTAGGCACTAGACCACCAGGGGACGACAGTAATAATAATAATAAGAATAAGAATAAGAATAAGAATAATAATAATAAGAAGTAGTAGTAGTTCAATTCCAGCCCCTAAAACAAATAATACAAAAGATCCGGTACAATACTAAAGAGAAACAAATAACCGAGTCCAAATTAAGGCACCAAGGTTAAAATTAATATGCTTCCATGCTTTCAGGATGTTCAGACCAAGTTTGGTTGCCCAGGGTGCAGTACACATTAAAGGTTTTATATGAGTTTATCTTATACTTCATTTATTGCTTTCTATTTTCTAACACATCAAGTCAACATTGGCCAATCAGCTGATAAAGTGACCCAGGGAAATGCTCTCAACTCTGTACAACTAGATTCCTGATTTAGAGCTTTCCCTGTGTTAACACAGGCAGGATGGCATATTAAGCGATTTCCTTTCTGTAACCTTCTAAGCCAGGAAACTAAGGAAGCGATGCAACTGCTTCGATTGAACTTAAATGTGGATCACATTCACTACTGACAAATATTCAGCATTTATTTTTTTTAAAGGCAATTACCTGTTGATTGTTTTTCATTAAAAAGATCAAAAGCCATTACAAGGTCAAAATTGGTAATTTTAGTAGCTGCTAGAAACGAGACTCCTGAAGAGAAAAGATCACAGTATTGTAAACTCTCCATGCACACATCTATTCTTACACGATCAATAGATCACAGGATCAAGCACTCAAGCACTATTAACATTCACTTCTTCACATGTCAAAAGAAAAATGTTCTGTTAGATTTTACTCCATAATGAGTGATATGTAAACAGAAATATTTTTTGTAGACGCTACAATTATTTGTCACATTATATAAAAAGTACCTTGTCACACACTCTTTAGGTCTTTGCTTTTCGATACAATTTGGCGTAATTCCACAACAAACTATACTTAGCATACGAATCTGAGCTGATTTTTTTTTATTAAAGTTTTTTATAGGCCACCTTAAACAGCCTCTTTTTCATCTAAGATAGGCACGCAAAAAAACCCCCAAATCTTTCGACATGAGAGAACTAGAGAGAGCAAGAACAAAGACAAGAGGAGGAGGAGGGGAGGGGGGAAAGTGCAGAGAGTGAAAGGTACTCTTTCAAAATGCTAGTCTTTAGGAACTTAGAAAATGTTGATGAAGAAGGTTTTAAACAACAGCATGTCTCTCCTATCTGTCAGTGTTCTCTTTTGTGGGTTTTCTTTCTCTTATTCCAATGGCATCCATTTCTCTGGCTTCTCTCTGTCTGAGGCCTGGTAGAGGATAACCCATCTTATCCCACTGGCCTCTGTCTCTCAGTGTCTAGTAGCTCTGTAGAGCTTTTAATCCACTACCTCTTCCGGTTTCATTTTCAGGCCTGATAGAGGGGCACGACTCTCCTGATCCCCTGCCTGCAAACTGGACATGTTGGCTGAGGTAGTGCCTCATAGCAGCTGTAGCAACAACATACATGTCCACAATCCAGCAACACACACCCTCTTGGGTTACTCAAACAGATTACACATGCATTCTCAAGGTCCTCCTCCCCCTCCCCTATCCGTTCAAACTCCCTCTTCATCCTCTCTCTCTCCCATTTCCTCTGGATCCGCCTATAACATTGAAGCCCTGCCCACAGAACCACAGCGACGCCCACCAGAGCAAACATGCCCGCCAAGGCCCACCAGCAGGATGCCTGGCCCTCTTGGTCATGCCGGAGTGACTCAAAGTCAGCCGTGGTCAGGAAGTAGGTGGAGCCGTCAGTTGGGGGGCGGAGTTTAAGCAGGCGGTCCGAATCGAGGATGAGCTCCCCAGCAGCGGTGATGGACACACCCACCCTCAGCATTTCCTCTGTCTCCAGCTGGCCCTTGCTCTTCTCGCCACTCAAATACTGGCTGAGCAGGTCACTGAAGCCGTAGTTTGCCTGGTGGAACTTCTCATGCACTGTTTCCATCTCAGGGCCAGATGCCTCCAGTGGACGAAGCACCCGCACCCGTGCTCCATCTACTCCCACCAGAGCAAAGGGCACGCTGCTCACACGCTCGTGCAGCACACGCTCACGGTCCATCCTGCACGAGAGAGAAGCATTATGTGTGAGGAAGCCAAGGAGAGTCAAAAGTCATTTTTTTAATAAATTTTTTTGTTGTGCATAAGAGATAAATGGAAATGACAGAAAAATGACACAAAGTTAAAAAAAAAAACAAAAAAAACCCCAACAATTTCTAATAGCTATGGTGTGTATGCTGCTGTACTGATAACGTTGCAATAAAGGTAGCCGGCTCTCCATGACTGTGTTTGAATGTAATATGAAGCCATCTGCAAAGCCCTAGCCTGCCATATAGTTAAAGACACAGTGCTGTGAAAAAGTATTTGGCCCCCTAAACTTAATAATTAGTTGTGCTTCCTTTAGCAGCAACAACTGCAACTGAACGCTTCTGTTGACTGGAGATCAGTCTTTCACATCGCTATGGAGGAGTAATCAAGTATTAACTGCCCGTTTAAGGTCCCAGTGGGGTTCAAGCCAGGACTTTGACTAGGACACTCCAAAACCTTAATTTTGTTTCTTTTAAGCCCTTCGGAAGTGGATTTGCTCTTGCGCACAGGATCACTGCCTTGCTGCATAACCCAATTGTGCTTGAGCTTCAGACAACAGAGTGATGACCAGACCTTCTCCTTCAGGGTTTTATGGTAGACAGCAGACGGATATTTCAATAACTTTCTTTCCCATCTCTTCCAGAATTTCTTTTGATCGCAGCATAGTGTGCTGCTTGTAGAGACCTTTAGCCTACTTCACACTGCTGGATAGGTTATTTAACTGATGTTTAGATTGAACAGTAATCAAGCCTGGGTGTGTCTAATCTAATTAACTTCAATTAAATGTGGTTAATTGGTTGAGTGAGGAAAGGGGGCAATTACTTTTTCCCACACAGGGCCAGTTGGTGTTGGATAAACTTTTTCCATCAATAAATGAAATGATCATTTAAAAACTGTATCTTTTTTTAACTCAGGTTGTCTTTTTTTACATTTTGTTTGAAGATCTGAAATTTATTTATTGTGACAAAAAGAGAAGAAATCCAATGCTTTTTCACAGCACTGTGCTGATAATTTTTCATTCGTGATTTTGCAATATTTTTACTTATTACACATGATAAGAATGTTTGACAGGAGTTAAAATATTTTAGTCTAATAGGCCAAATGTTATATCCATAGCCCAAAAAATGACTAATTCTACCCCTAAGTGGAATTGTTTTATAATAGAAATAACTCGTGTTGTCGTCACAGACTAGACTCATACTTGAAACTGTGCATTTAACTACTGATGAGTTGAAGAGTGTGTTATAACAAATATTATTGCACTAGACTAATGTGGGGAATTTTAGGGTGCAACTGCAAAAGTACACTGCTTAGAAAAAAATTTACTAGATTTTACTGTATTTCAATTTTACTGCAGAAACCTCTGGTAGACAGGCGATAGGTAGATAGTCAGTGACTAAACTAACATAAGGAGAGAAATGCACAAAGCAGAATTCAACACTGTCTCACCAGGTGCGTGCCAAACTGTTCCACACCAGTTTATGCTCCCGGAGGAGCAGTTTCTGAATAACACCAACAGTTCCTTCCTTAAACTGACTGCTCAGGGGCTCCTCTATGGGCTGCACTGTGCCTGCAGAGACAGGGAGACAGAGACAAGGATGCAGGATGCATTTGTAAATGGCCCATATTTATTTGTACTAATAGATTTCTATTTGAACAGGGACCCATTCTTTATTTTATTGTTTTCAATCAAATATATGCAGAACCAACAACTATAGGATGTTGCTCAGGTTCTATTTTGGCAATATTACTTTCTTCTATTTAGATTTTGGGACCAGTTACACATCAACAAAATAACATATTGCAAGTGAGGTTGTGTAGTTTAAGCAGTACAGCGATTCAGGGATTTTGAAAGTTTTTTTGAGGAGTCACAGCGAGAAAAGCTGAAAATGCAAGATCATGAATAGCCCTATGAATCAGCACACACTTGCGTGAATTACTCAGCTAATTATCAAAATCGACATTATTTAAAACAGTTACATTATATTACATTAGGACTAAACGGAAAAACTCATCCGGTCAATAAGAGTCTCAGTATGATTCCTTTTTGAGGAGTAAAAGCAGCTTACCTTCAATAACCACATACTGCAGACACTTCCCGGGTGTGGCATTCAGAAGATCCACCAGTTCCTCATTTAAAGCCATATGAGGAGCATCCTGAAACCACAAATCCATGTATTACATGAACATGTTTTTACATATTCAGAAAGGATTACAAACTCATACCTGATTCCTACAAACCTTATCATAAATAAGTGAGCATAACTATGCTGCTGAATTAAAAGGTGCACAATCTGCATTTTAATGGCTGTTCTTGTAAAGCAAAAGGTGACATAAGTAAACAGGATGGTCCTCACATTGAGTTTGTCCACAGCTTTGCGTTTCTTTCTGTATAGGTAATAGAAGAGGCCTGAGAAAGCGATGCTGGAACCTAAAAACACTGCCTCCACTGTCCCAATAGAGAATTCCTCCATCATCTTCTTTCGTACTTGTTAATCCTCACAGGGTGTGAGCTGGACTTGTGTAAACATAAGAGAAACAATACATTAATGTGATGATGGAGAAAGATTCTTTTTCAAGCCATTAATTAGTTAAATTACAATATTCCCTTCATGTAAATTAATTTTCAATGCATCAAAACAAAATTCATTTTATTTTGCTGTTAAGAAAGTGTGTGCCAGGTATTGCGTAATAAAGAAGACCTCAAGTGACCTTAGAGATGCAATGACATTGTCAGTAGCCCTTTCACAAATATTGAAAAAAATATCATTTTTGAGCCACAGTTTAGCTGGTTCAGTTTACTGCGTCATGTGGTAATACCCCGAGAAAACAATTAAATGTGTTAAATTATAATAATGTTGATTTATTAATTTGGTACCATAAGTTACATAAACCACTGAAAAAACACTAAGTCAAATTGTGC